AAGCTAATCATCATCCTTTAATGCCTACAACATTCTCAAGATTAAGACCTTAACATACATCATCTATATAAATTATATACTCCAGGTCAATGTATATAGAGATCGAATTACACCATCATACACAACATACTGATGTTTAACATCTCAATCAAGTACAACATATCAATGCTTAACAACTTATTCAAGACAAGCATTCTAATGCCTACCAACAGTTCAACCATACAAGTATAATATATCAATCATACATAGCATATCAATGCTTACCATCATCTTATAACATACAATATGCAATAAACTCACATTTTGTTCATGTTCACTAATTCACCCATCAAATCACATGTTTCAACAAGATAACATGTGCCCGACACCATTGTGGCAGGGGATTCTCTGTCTCGCCCATGTCCGACGCCACTTAACCCACACCCAACATGGCTTAGGTAGGGGACCCCTAGAACCTCACGCCTAACATGACAAAATCCCTATATGTATGAACCTTGCAAACTTGAGATGATTCTCTCTTCTCACGCCTGACATCACTCCTTTGGTGCCTAGCGTTAATCTAGTAGAGGCAATTCTTTTGTCTCACATTTAGCGTCATTCAAACCATATTTAGCGTCACTTCAACTTGAGACAATTCTCTCTTCACGCTTGATGCCACCAACCCTACGCCCATTGTTTGAAGGCACGCATGGTGCAACATTAGAAATCTACAACTACATATTTAAAAATTGCCTCAATCCATCTAAAAAACAACCAAACTAAAACATGCAACACCAAAATCCATCTCTACACACCACATACAATTCATTTTTTTATCCAAACAACAACATGCAACACTAAATGATTTAAATTCATCAAAATCACTTCATAGTTCAAAATGCCAAAAGCTCATTCCTTTCACCATTCAATTCGATCTCCAACCAAATAAAGACTCACATTTGATGAAAAACAACATCAAGCAATTCATCAAATTAGTCAACACAACAATCCTAGGTTCTCTTACCTCCTAAAACACCAAGAGGAAGAGAAGAGAAGCAAGGTAAAGAAAATTTGAGCTCCCCGACAAAATCTGTCTAATTCAGCAACTAGGATTCAAGGCTTTTGGAACCTGAATCATAACATACAAGTAGATCAACAATATTGGAAAAGGAAGTCTCTAATTAAGAGGTTTAGAGAAGAGAAGAAAACTTATGGACTCATAGCATCTCTTTCTAATTTATCTCTCTAAAATCTGAAAATTTTAACTTATGAGATTCAATCTTAACAAAAACTTTATATATCACTCATTCTTAGGGTCAATTAGACCTTTGGCTAGAGGACTCTTAGAACAAGTTAGACTCTTGAAAATTCTTCACTTCTCAAAGCCCTCACAATACATCTCAAGTACCATTCACACAATTATTGTTAAAAGACAATATATTAAAGGTTACAATTTTACAAAAGTGCTCTCATATAAAATTTTCGTTCATATTTTATATATAGTGATTGATAGAAAAGTTTTTTTAAATAGATTTTATATAATTCATAAATTATAATATATTATTGTATTAATTAAATGAGATTTTGTCATGTCAGTTTATATTACTTATTGACTTTTTCATTATTGTTTTTGTAAGCGTATTGACTTTTTCATTTAATAATTGACTATAATTAACTTTTATAATTAAATTTCTAAATTTTTCCGAAGTAAGAAAGCTCTTGGATTAAGTAATATAGGTCGCTTATTTCATCGAATGTTTGACAGATATATTAATTAAAATTTCTGAATATTTAGATTAATTAATTAATAATCTACGAAATGAATAATAAGACAAAATAATTAATAAATAATTCTCACAGCACAATTATAATTAATAATAATAAAGATAGTTTTATCTACCAGAATCTACCAGAATGTATCGACACAATTATAGTATGCATCAATCAAAATACATGATAGGTATTAATTAATCAACCACGATACTCTCGGTATATTATTATATTATATAAAGCAGATTTTGTCACGTAAGTTAATCCCACATGTCAACTATTGTTTATATCCGATGCTCCAGGCATTGCGATTGCGGTGCCCCGGGGCTGGTTTCTGGTTTATTTTGTTTTTATTCTTCTTGCTTTATGCTCTTTTTTTGCTCACTTGCAACCAAAAAAAATATATTATTAAATTGTTTCTATTGCCCTTTTTCTACTGCATAATGCAACCTTGTATTTCCTAATCTTTGATTTTACTTGATTTCTGAAATTATACTCAACTCTTCCTTCGAATTTGATATGCCCTTTGATTTTACTTCCAGCACTTCACTTTTCATGTTCTTGTTATGTACATTACACAAGAGGGGAAAGATTTCATTTTAATCCTCACATATATGTTGGTTTTGAATGTTCGTTTTTCTCTTCAACTTTGGAAGAGCATAGCGGGACAAACAATTTGTAATGATCACGATTAGGTTGGCGTGTAGGG